CAGAGCTGTAAAGTATTTGAGTAAAAGTATTTGAATATTGGTATTCAAATACTTTTTTAAGTATTGAATACTTTATTTAAATACTTTTTTTATTTCTTGTATTTAAATAGTATTTAAATACCTTTTTATGGTATTGAATACTAATGTATTTGAAATACTTTTATACTTATGAATATATTATTTTATTAAAAATCAAAATGTCACATCTCGCAAATTGTCAACGAAAAAAATATACCTATATATTATAAAACTAGATAAATTAAATGATTTATTTCATAGATAAAAGTTTAAATGAAGTGATTATGAATTTTGAGAACTAAAATATTATGTTTACGACTGCGTGTCGCCGTACAATAGTACAATAGTACTTAGTTATCGCATAATATTATCTATAAGACTATACAAATATAAGTATTGTATTGCAGCCTTTGGGTAGGTACCTATGTGGGCTATGATTTATGACCTACCTAATAACTAATAAGTAATAATATATTAAATTTGTCCGTCACCACGTAAAAACCACAGCGGATAATCCCACAACTCACAAATAAACCTATTGGCTATTACCTACGACTCGTTCTCGGCTTTATTGCACGTCGCACGAAACACAAGCAGTTAGCACATCAGCGTCTTTGTAGTTTGTACTGATATTCCGTATTGACCGTATTCGTTTATTAGTTTATTACCTACCTACTTTGTGCTATACGTTTAAAATGAACAATATTGTTGAAAATGTACCATTTCCATTTCCGATGTATAATGCACATTTTAAAGTTATATGTGTACTTGAAGACAAAATTTATTATAAAAAATTAAAAGTAAAATGTGTGAACTGTCCGGGAACAAAGGAACTTACAATTGACTCACGCTCAAATTCAAACATTCGTAAACATTTATCAGTAAGTACAGGACAATACTCAATACTAGTTATACCTACCTATATTCTATCATTATTAGTTATTACTATTATTATTCATAATTGGCTTTTTTTAACTTATAGAACCAGCATCCAAACATTTTGGCAGATATTGATAAGTTGGACAAAAAAAGAAATGTCGATGAGGTCAATGCAAAGAATAATAAACCGGATAATATGCTTTTGGATTTTATTTCGAACAAAAAAACTACTAGCCAAGGTATGCCTACTTAGTACGAAAATAGTACACACGAATATCACAGTAAATCGGGGGATATTTTCAATTTTATTTAAAAAAATTAAATAAAATTAAATATATATTATCATGATATTTAATTCGATGCGCCGGTCGCCTTATCACATACAAACGTTATATTTGATAAAAAACGATTGAAATTTGTAAACGTAATTATAACGGAAAACGAAAAACATAAATAAATAAATAACACAAAACAAAACGTAACGTTTAACAAAATATATGATATATCATTAAACAAAACATAACGCAAAACAGTATAATAAATATTGTATTTCATTAAACGAAATAATTCATTTCCAATTATTTAATAATACTTAGTATACTTAGTTTTCCAAATGCAAGCCCTGTTTAAAACACACGATTTTACATAAAATAAAAATATAATTAAAATAGTTTAAAATAAAAAATGTAATAAATAGGTAGCATGGGAATGCTAAACTGAAAATTGCAATTTGTTTTAAAAAATCTTTAGTATTGCGATTATTTTTGTAATACCTACTTATAATTTTTGCTTACAATCATTTTTACGATTTTTCAAACATGATAATATAATTAATAATTTAAATTAAATTAAATTACCTAAATAATTTTAAATTAAATTTTAGCTACGTTAAATCAACTTGTTCAGAGGTTTATTATAAGTGCTAATATATCTTTTGCAATTGTGGAAAACTCTGTTTTCAAAGAAATAATCGAAAGAGGATTTCCAAACAGAAAATTATTGAGTCGTCCAACTTTAATGAAGCAAATTGAGTCTGAATTTGAATCATCAGTAGCTAAACACAAATTAAAATTGTCAAAAATTGTACATGTTGCAACAACAGCAGATTGTTGGTCAATATTTAAAAAGTAAATTATATTATTGATTTGAATTATGACGTATAACATGTAATTTATACAATCATTTTATTGTATATTATGATTATTTTTTAATTTTTAGGTCATACATTGGTATAACAGCATCTTGGTACGATGAGGATTTACAAAGAAACACAAGTCTTCTTGCTATTCGCAGGTTAGAAGGAAGTCACACGTTTGAAATGTTGGCCAAGTATATGGATAATGTATATACTGAATTTGAAATATCAGATAAAATAGCATATACAACTACTGATAATGGTTCTAACTTTGTAAAAAGTTTCAAGTAAGCAATGTTGAACCTTAAATTATTTTATTTATTTAAGTATATTATTTTAAACATAATTAATTTAAGATATAACTATTTGTTACAAAATTATTAATAAATTTGAAACTTTTAAAGTGTGTATGGCTGTATTTTTGAAGATTATTATAATGAAGATATTGGTATTGAAAATGTAGATGATTGTGAAAATGATGATGGCATTGAAATGTTAGAGTTGAATGATGAATTGAATAAAAATATAAATAATGATTTACCATATTCACTACCCAGACATCATAGATGTGCAGCTCATACACTGAACTTAATAACGTCAACGGTAACTATCTACCTACTTAATAGTGTTACTAAAAGTTACACATATTCATTATTTGTAAATTGACAAATAGTATTTTAGTATAATAATATAATATTCTGTATTTAATTTTGTTTTAGGATGCAAAAGTTGCATTATTAGACCCTGTATATAAAAAACAGTCGAGGATTACATTTGGAAAATGTGTAAGTCTCTGGAATAAACAAGGACGTTCTACAAAATCAGCAGATTTGATAAAAAAGCACTGTGGTGTTTATTTGAAAACACCATGTGAAACACGTTGGAACTCGTGGTATGATTCTGTGTCATTTTTATACAAGTATCTCAACAAAAATGAATCTAAGTTCAGATTAGCTATGGACGAATTAGATATTGTCAGGTTAGAAATTAAATAATTTTAATTGTTATTTCTCATAATAATATATATTTAATATATTTTAATACCTAGGTTTAACAAAAACGATATTGAGTTTTTGGGAAATTATGAAAAAGTATTACAACCAATTTCCATAAGTCTGGACATGCTTCAAGGAGACAAACATATGAACTTTGGATTTTTACTGCCAACAATTGAAGAACTCTCTTCAAAATTTACACTTATGTCTCGAGATGATACCATTTCTAAAAGTATACAACCTCTTGTGTCTGCTTTGCTTACTGGTATGTTTAATTTTAACAGTAAAGTTAGTTTAAGTTAGTTTCTATACTAAGTTAATACCAAAATAATTTATCTTTCAGGCATTAATAAAAGATTTGGGGATTTATTACAAAATAAGTTTTTAATTATTGCATCAGTGAGTAATCCTTATTTTAAAGTGGCATGGATTAAAAATGATGTAAGAAAGCAAATGGCTATGGATGCATTTAGAAATGCTTGTTTACAAATATATGAAAAAGAGTGTGTTTCCAATACTCAAGAACCTAATATTGTAGAAAGTTATGATGAACCATCATTGGACTTTTTTACGTGGTCTTCTTCAAACAATATGAATGGTATAGATTCGGTAGATATTGAAATTAATCAATATTTTAGGACTTCGCCAACAAAAAACTTGGATTGTTTGCAATCACTTCCTATACTTAAAAAAGTACATATACATTTTTTTTGGTTCTTATGATAAATATGATAAATTTAATTAATTTTTTATTTCTGTTGACAGGTATTTATTAAATACAATACACCTCTCCCCAGCAGTGCTTCGGTTGAAAGGGTATTTAGTGTAGGAGGAGCTACGTTAACAAAAAAGAGAACATCCATTAGTGACAAGCATTTTGAACAAATAATGTTTTTAAAATGTAATAATCAATGCAATAATAAATAATAATAAAATGATGAATAAATTGTACATATTTTTTTTTTT